AGACATAGGCCCAAACGTCGAAGACATAGGCCCAGACGTAGACGACACAGACCCAGGCGCCATCGACATAGGCCCCGGCGACATCGACACAGGCCTCGACGTCGACGTAGGCCCAAACGCCCTCGACGTAGGCCCAGACGCCCTCGACGTAGACCTAAACGTCCTCGACGTAGGCCCAGACGCCCTCGACGTAGACCTAAACGCCCTCGACGTAGGCCCAAACGCCCTCGACGTAGGCCCAGACGTCCTCGACGTAGGCCCAAACGCCCTCGACGTAAACATAGACGTCCTCGACGTAGGCCCAGACGCCCTCGACGTAGGCCCAGACGCCCTCGACGTAGACCTAAACGCCCTCGACGTAGGCCCAGACGCCCTCGACGTAAGCCTAAGCGCCCTAGACGTAGACCTAAGCACCCTAGACGTAGACCTAAACGCCCTCGACGTAGGCCCAAACGCCCTCGACGTAGGCCCAAACGCCCTCGACGTAGGCCCAGGCGTCCTCGACGTAGGCCCAAACGCCCTAGACGTAGACCTAAACGCCCTCGACGTAGACCTAAACGCCCTCGACGTAGGCCCAAACGCCCTCTACGTAGGCCTAAACGCCCTCGACGCAGGCCCAGACGCCCTCGACGTAAGCCCAAACGCCCTCGCCGTAGGCCCAAACGCCCTCGACGTAGGCCCAAACGCCCTCGACGTAAGCCCAGACGCCCTCGACGTAAGCCCAGACGCCCTCGGCGTAGACCCAAACGCCCTCGACGTAGGCCCAAACGCCCTCGACGTAGACCTAAACGCCCTCGACGTAGACCTAAACGCCCTCGACGTAGGCCTAAACACCCTCGACGTAGACCCAAACGCCCTCGACGTAGGCCCAAACGTCCTCGACGTAAGCCTAAGCACCCTAGACGTAGACCTAAACGCCCCTCGACGTAAACCTAAACGCCCTCGACGTAGGCCCAAACGTCCTCGACGTAAGCCCCAAACGCCCTCGACGGAAGCCCAAACGCCCTCGGCGTAGGCCCAAACGCCCTCGACGTAAGCCTAAGCGCCCTAGACGTAGACCTAAAACGCCCCCGACGCAGACCTAAACGCCCTAGACGTAGACCTAAACGCCCTCAACGTAAGCCCAGACGCCCTCAACGTAAGCCCAAACGCCCTCGACGGAAGCCCAAACGCCCTCGACGTAAGAGTACAAAACAAAAGGTCAGAGCGGTAAACGACGAAATGGGCGCAAGAGCAAAAAACGAAATCCATCCAAGCGTCAGCGAAGACTGAAGCAAAAAAGGGGTCGAAGAAATAGGTCACCACAAACTAATCGAACAAAACAAAATAGAAAGGGCAGAACGAAAGGAAAACCGAAGAAGAAGAAGAGCGTACTAGCTAGGGTTGCTCAAAGGATCAAAAAATTCTTTGCTGGTCTGGGGCGATCCCCTTCCAAAAAGACAGCACAGTCAAAATCCAGCGTTGGCAACGGAATAAAAAACAAACAGAAGGCGCCACGGGTCGGCAATAAAAAAGAGGCGAAAGGAAAGCCTAAAACTAGCATTTTCGGCAGAGTTAAGAAATTCTTGAAAGGACTGTTTCCAAGTTCTAAGGTTCAGAGGGGTAAAAACAAAGGCGACGGAAAAGGGTCCAAACATATTTCAGGTGTAAATGGCAAAAGAGCATCAAGTTTTCCGGCAGGCCAAGATGAAGAGCCGCAAGGAAATGGCGGAGGAAGTCCGATCACCTTCAGCTTCGGCTTCGGAGGGAACTCCGGTGGCGATGACCCATCCCCGGCAGCGCCTGAACCTTATTACCCTCCTGAAGCAGAACCTGAACCTGATTACCCTCCTGAAACAGAACCTGAACCTGATTACCCTCCTGAAGCAGAAACAGAACCACAAACATCGGAACCGGATCCAACCGAAGAACCGACATCTGATGCAGAAGCTGATCCGGCCGATGCTGTGGAAACGGAACCCGACACTACTGACGCGGAAGAAACAGAAGCCGCAGAATCCATAAATGCGGATGGAGACAAACGGAACAAAACTGGCAGCCCAGGACTGACCAGCATTAGAAATTGCTCGACGCATGAAGTCTGCGACAAAAATAAAACCTGTCATAAGGCACAGAGGACACCAGATAGAAACCAGACGACTTCGGCCGAAAATAACAACACTCGGTGTAATGAGGCGCGCAAACCACCCGCAGGGCAAACACACGCCCCGCTGATGGCGCGGCGAGATCAGACCACGAAAACATACGGCTCCCGTCAATCAGATCAGGTGGCCACGTTACGCTCACTGCAGATATTGATCAACAAATATTTAAAAGCGCTAGAAGATGAGCGGTGAGGTCGTTGTGGAGCCTACCGCCAGCAAGACATTACAGCCCCGAATGGGACCATCTTGGTGTGATGAACGTGAGGCTGCGACGGACTGCGCTGGATTGAACTAAATTTGTGTCTGCCTGTTCGGTGGAGTCGAACGTTCACAAAAATACACACAGAATTGATATGTTTAAAAGTTCACCAATTGTGACACTTGGCAGATGTCTGCTGCCTGGAAGCCAAGTGAAATCCGTAAATAAGAGCGGAACATTTGAATTCGGGTCACACGAATATTCGACGGATATTTGGATCCGGTGAATGTTTGAATAGCAAGGTCCGTATGCTGGAAACATTAGACAAGCTACTGAAAAAGCAGAATGTTTTAAAAAATATACTCAAGGTCACTTTTGGGCCCAGTTGGCAGCAAACGTTCGATGCCCCTGTGGCCGAAGGCATGACTTCCGGTATTTGTTGTCATTAACGCCTGGTTTTAGTTTAAGAGAGCGCGAACTGCACCGCGAACTGCGAACTGACCGCACTGGTGAGGTGACTCCTGAATGAGAATGGCATACCAGAGCGCAGAAACACTGCAGGGCTACGATCGGATATCCTGCAATGCGGTACACGCCATCAGTTTCAGGAGAACAGTCCACAGTTTGGTGTCGTGCACTGAAAAAATGCGATAGTCTTGGTGCTTTCCGTCGCGTTGTCTTCTGATGTTGTAAAAGTGGTAGATTCAGTGCTGGCCTTCGATAGTGGGCCTTGTTCGTGACTCTACGTCATCGCAATGCGCATCGGCGCAAGCTTCGCGTTGAATGCGCCCAGAAGTGTGGTCTGTTTTTGGATTTCGCGTGCTTTCTTTCCTCTGCTCGGCTTCGATCGGGTTCTGGATACAATCACCTCTGTTTGGCCAAGTGTACAGTGGTTACCGAGGTAATACAATCACAAGTAATTGTGCTTTGCCATGAGGCACGCAGTTTGTGCTGTGCATCAGCCGGATTCTCATCATCATGCACATAAACGCAGCATGTCGTGGGGGTCTGCTTGTTGGATGGAGCACGGTCGGTTGGTCATGCATTACATCGATGAGGCACGCATTCTCTAAGCCTCTAAGCGGCTTGCTAGCGGTTTTGCACAGCTGAGTGTCAAAACCAGGAACGTCACGCGCACTATCAACCAACAACGCTAAAACATAATATATGCTACCGAACAGGTAAACAATATTTCGACGTTCAACTGGTCAGACGTAGTTCATCAACAGGTAACTATCGCACGCACAAACAGGTAACAGTTGTCCAATAAATCAAACGACTTAGCAACGAGTACCATTCCCGATGGCGCCACGTAGCTTGAAGTCCCGATTTTTTTCGCAGGGTGTCTAGTTAGTCTATCTGCTCATCACTGCCCACCCATCAGTCACTGTCCACACAACGTTTCTCTGTCACCATACACCATACCCAACAAACGTATGGTAGGATCTCTCCGCAACAAATAACATATCTGCCCCCACCCCCCTCCGCCAGCGTTGGCCAGCCTTAAAAGGTTTACGACCGGTTCGTGGGTCTGCCGCCCACTCAACACTGGCCCAGACTGTGCCTCTACACTCGCCACAGACTGTGCTTTTACACTCGCCACATGCTGTGCTTTTACACTCGCCACAGACTGCGTTTTCACACTCGCCACAGACTGTCCCTCCACACTCGCCAAAGACAGTGCGACACGCTTGGTAATGCCGTCGAACAAGTCGTGTAGTCTTGGCTAACGGTGCTAATGACGCGCTGAAATTACAGGACCAGGGATACCAGCCGATGCACTCGTGCATTTCTGTCCTCTCAGCGTGGCTTTAAGTCATCCGTGGCTAACGTCACTCGCGGAAACCCCACGTGTTACTCTGACAAATATATAAAACCGTTCACTTCACAGCACTGATAACACGTCCGCAGCTCGACCTCCAGTGAACCCGGTAATCACATTAGATGTGAAGTTGTTCGCACGGTATGTTCCTTGCTGTCAACTCGTACAAAAATGACACGTAGGATCTGAATTTAACATCAAACCACCCACTCACGTAGGGATATACAATCAAGACTCGATATGTTGATTCGTTTCGTTGGGATATGTCTAGAAAGCGGGGTGGTCAAAAACAACACGTACAGCGATGGTTCGACTAAAGCCATAAAGTAGCTGCGTCGCAATTTAACGAAACATCGTGAAAGTGTTTCGTCTTGGCAAGCACATGGGTCCACACATTCTACCGCGGTCCCTCCCTAACTCCAGCCTCTAAGCAGCTAGGCTGACCTGGTTGCAAATCTGAGTCCACCCAAATAAACAACGGCAGGCGTCAGATCGCGGTGTTCACATCTCTCGCCACGCCCGCCTCTCAATCCCTGACACCTGCCGTTCCGCTGCTGTCTGTCATTGACCTCAGGTCAGGCAGCTGTCCCGCTGCTGGACCAGAGGCAGCGGCGGCGCGGGGCGGTGAGCTACCGCTGCGGCTCGGGCGGGGTGCTTCCATGCTGGCAATCGCTTCCACTGCGGGGTGGTGCAGCAGATCAGGATTATATAAGGTCATCGCGCGCCGAACTCACTCCCTCAGCGTCTCGACAACGCAGTTGAGGGCAGAAAAAACTTTAAGACGCAGCTACAATGGCTTGCGTCGGCCCGAAACTTCAGGGCGCAGCCACAGGGGCTTGATTTGGCCCTAAGGCTTGCCGAGATCCCTAACCACCGATTCTTCGAGATGAGCCACGGCATGAACGCAACGGTTGGCGCCTCATAGTCGACGCCGATCGACCATGCGGCGCAGCTTTCTGGGCTCGCTGCATCGAGTCCAGGGAGGGCGGAAACAGGTATGCCCATCTGTCAGGGAGACGCCGGCTGTATGTACCTGACCAGGCAGCGTTCGAGGCCTCGACAGGTATTCAGCCAGGCGGGGCGCCAGCTGCCAATACACACAAACGACAGGTATAAAATGCGATGCGGAACCGAAGCGCGACCCAACGAAGGCCAAACACAAAAGGTCTGAAGCGCCAGGAAAATTAAAACAGAGCCTGTGCGTTCGATGGAGGTGCTACGTGGACTGAAATTGACAGTTTCACCAAGAAAAACGAGTTCCAGCTGTCTGCTTCAGATTTCAAGGCGTGCATACGGTGCCAACGTGTCATTGCGGTTGACGCAAGACATGCACGTGGGGCAGCTCAATAACGTAATGCAGCGTTGGACGACGACTACACATAAAACGGAACTTTGAAAACATTGAAAAAACACCCAGCATTTAAAAAGAAATATCTGCGTTTTGACATACAGGCCTTTCATGTTTCGGTAGACCTGGCTCTTTGGCTCTGCCATGCGTGCAGGCAAGGTCAGACCCGTACGAGATTCAGATGCCGAGGCTCACCTGCCACGCGTTTGCTTTGTTCTGTGACCTGGCGAGCCAGGACTTCATTCAGCTGCAGGATGTGAGCCCTCTGCAGTTTATCGGTGGCCGCGCTTACACGTCTGGAACGAGGTTCTGTCGAGCAAAAAATCATATCAGATGACGACCCATGGTTGTCCACACGTCGTGCATTGTGGCGAAAAGGACGAAACGACAGGATTTTGTTTTTCTGGTGCAACATTTGCAATATTCTCGCTGTGTTGCGGCACCGTAAGGGAAATTTGGAACCTAGGAATAGAAAAATGAAGGGGTGAAAGAAACTGCCTACCTGTCTATAATCCTTTAACCCATCACGATCATTGTGTTCATAACGTCAAACAGATGGCTGTGTTAAATAGACCATTTATCCGCAGACCAATCATTGCATTGCTGCTGATAAGTCGCTCCAAATTCTTAAATGCTGGGGATCCCTTTCGGATAAGTTCGTGTGTGTGGTACAGCACTTCGCTTCGGTACTTTTTGACTGAGGACAAAAATGGCTGAACGGAGGCAGAAATATCTTGGCAATTCACGCACAAACAGCTATTCGGACAGAAGCATTTCGACTGCAGTATTGTTACCCTGGAAGCAAACGCTCAGAGTGGCGTCTGGTACGAATAACATTCATGGCGAAATATTATATTCCCGAAAAGGAAGTCACTAGACTTCCCATGGTCTTCCATCGGGAGTCTAGGTCTCCCCATGGTCTTCTTCTGCGATGTCATAATCGAAGCATGGTGATAAAAATGGCCTCAGTTTCTCCCCATCTTCCGCGACACAACAGTATTTAATAAAAGGGCATCCCACACATGGAACGCAATCATTTTCCAGGTCCTTGGTGCTGCAGAATTTCTGCCCTTGACCAGATGGCCCTCCATCTCTTTACCGGCCCCGCGTGGCATTATATGATATCGTCCACTAAAACCACAATTTGACAAATCGGAATGGGGTCTTTGTTCCCAGAACAGAGTAAAACACCTGCCAATTCTTTTTCGCCGTTATTAATTGCCCAGAGGACCAACAGCCCAGATTTTCCGCTCATATGACCGCGATCAGCTGCCTGGCGGTCTATTGTGTTTATGTGCGCGCAGAGCCACCATCACGTAGAAATCATTACTCACCTTCTATCGATATCAATTTATGTTCGCGCCACTTAACAATCTGTCGAACATTGTTTGGTAATCTCCGTAAAAGTTGTGCGCAAAAATGACGTCCTCTTCGGCCGTGCCGTTTTTCCGGCCGGATTTCCCGCTCGGATCCCAACAGCATGTGAGCTGTGCCTCACTCAGTCCGCTGCGTCGACAAGCGACAAAAGGAAGCGATGGTGTCACTTCCAACCACTGAATACTTACCAGCCGAGCAAATGCTATCCAAAAACCCGGTACTTTGAGTCAGCATTTTCCTGATGGACGCCGCTTTCCGGCTTCTCTGAAGCCGTTCTTCGGCCGTCATCGGCTCCAGCTCCTTTAAAAAAGGCATGTGGAAAGGATGCAGCGTCACACAAGTTTGAGACCGCACACTCGCAAGACGGATTCTTTTTGCCAGCTTGTTCCTAAAATATGAAACATTTCTTGAAGACAGAGAACCTTTATGGCTGGTTTTAATGAAGCTTGCTTCCTTTTTCACTCCATTGCAGCCATTAGTATTCAGATCCACATGTGATTTGGTGGCTGCCGTTATAGATGAACAATCTCATCGAGTGCACCACGTACCACTGCGTAGTGGGCATTGATACGAGTTATTTTTCTGAAAACCATTGACCTTCAATATCCTCGAACGTTCAGGTTAAACAACGCTACAACGCAGACATGAAGCATGCTTTGAGAAGACTTGATGTTTCAAGGCAATGAGTGAAGCTATACACGCATCCACATTTTCTAGGCGGACTGAAGTTTTACGGGCGCGCTCGTCTCTCAGCCGCTCCAGTAACTGTGCCTGTGCAGCGCACGTTTTGTGCTTTCTGTCTGACACGTGCTCAGTACGCAGCCACACCCATAGAGGCCTGACACGCCCGACGGCGCAACGCCCTAAATCCACCGCGACATTACGCGACAGCCAGGCGCGCTTAGCGCCACCTGACCAGCTCTGCGTAGCGTCTCCTCACCAGCTCCGGGACGTAGCGCTCGGGGATGTGTATCTTCTGCGGCCGCGCCAGCAGCCGGTCTATGGTGTCGCCGTCGTAGCTGAGACCCGGCCCGGGCCGAGTCGCCCGCACTATGTCGGACGTGCTAGAGGCGGATCTCAGATTGGTCCGCTCCACGCGGGGCTCCTCCAGCGACGAGCCGTGCTGAGGGGGGGGGGGGGGGGGCAACGGCGGCGTGAGTCAAATGGCGTCCAGTGCCATCACGAGAGCATGAGACATCTAGGGCCCTCGAGACCTGGATTATGGATGTGAGGTTAAAGCTTATCTCTACAGTCCTTGGTCGAGCAATGTCCATGCTGTTGCAGATATTTAAATCGGTTCCAAAAGAACTTAGACGATTGAACTAATGCTACGTTACCAAAGTATACGCTATTTCACAACCAGATCAACAATTATATCCCTGAAATATCACCTTGAAATACCGACGGAATGTGCTTTGATATCAAAGATGAAACGGTGGAACACGCAATGAAACTGATTGGGCCCTGGCTGAGTCAGCTGACTTCCAGGAAACCGTACTGCCGTACCAAGCCACCTACCCAGGCAACAGTAGCGTCACCTATACCTGCAGTGAAGCGCCACCTACCGAAGCCTCGGTCCGTCGGCAGGGGGCGGGCGCCGGTGACGGAGTGGTGGCGGCGGGGCGGGCGACGCTCGGACCGCCGGTACCGCTCCGGCCCCGCCGGGCGCAGCTCGGGGCTCGAGCCGAACAGGCGCTCGTAAGCCGTCGGCCGACCGGCGCCGGCCTGTCGCTGCCGCGGGCGGTGCAGGTCAGAGGGCACGACCCCGGGTCGACGCGGAGCGGGAGGGCGGGCGCTGGCCGTGGCGGTGCGTCAGTGCATCAAAAGCAAGGCCCTGCTGCAGGCAGCGTACTGCGAGTGCCGTGCGCGCGTGCACCCGCTGCCACCGGTGCTTTGCTGCGGAGGAGCTCACTGTGCAGCATATTTATATGACGGCATATGTAAAGGTGTAGTCGGCATACTGCTATATTTGCAGCCTCGCGAGCTGGGCTAGTGAAGCAAGCAAGGGTATAATAAAGTGCAAGTATAGCTTTAACAGAATCGCATAAAAAGCTGTTGACGTGCAAACTTCACCAACCTTGTCGACGAGCCGCTTCAGCAGTTGGTGCCGTTGCTGGGGAGAGGTTTCAGTCAGGAAGTCCAGCTCACTGCCCGATCTTCTACAGTAGCCCCTCGGGAGAGACGTTGCGCGATACAGATGTGGATCCCTTGCCTCGATTTCCTTGGAGACGTCCTGCGGCCGCTCATCATATGCTGTGTTGTTCTCAGGAGAAATCGGCCCCTCATTATCGGCAGAGCGTGGTGTTCTATCCTTTTGGCGCTGTTGTGATTCTCTTTTAACGGTTCGGACAGTCCTAACCTCCAGTGATGACCTGTCCTTTGAAAGCAGAGCTGTAAAGATAAGAAACGAGTCACCCATGATAGAACAAGTTTGCATATAATAAAAGGAAATCCATGGTCATATGTGAAATCGGATGAAATAAGCCATTCATTCACCACACAGGTCCTCATGACACAAAATACACAGAATACGTCCACATAACGATACAAACAATGGCAAACCACACAGGACAAAAAACGCATCATTGCAACGAATCATTTCCGTTATTAAGAAAACTGACGTCAGTGCACAAAACACGGCCGCCACACGTCACGTTCACGAACCGTAAAGCGGGCCCATCTCCTCCGTGGGCTTGATGACGTCATCTGGTTGCCGGGGCGGCTCGCGACGATCGCCGTTCTCGATGGCCTGCACGATGGCGCCGACGGACTGGTGGCGCCTGCGGCCGGGCGCGGCGCCGTCGCCCTCCGTCCCGCCCCGGTCGCGGTCCGCCGCCGGCCCGCCAGCCGAGCCGCCGGCGTCCGGGCGTTCGTCCGGAGCCGTGTCGACGCCGTCCGCGCGCTGGTGGCGCTCGACCGGAGTGTGGCTGGGGCGACTGCGGGTCGGCGTCCGCGGCCGCCGGCGGGTCGGAGACTCGTCTGAGCCGTGTCAGATGCCGACGCCTCGGCGGCGTGCTCCTGTGGGGTGGGCTGGTCCTCGGCTGGCCGAGCGCCCGCTGGGTCAGTGGCTGGCTCTTCCGTGGCTTGTTCCCGCGCGACAGACTGGTCCTCAGCTCCCGCTGCCGCCTCTGCCGGCGCGGGTTGGGGCGTTGAGACACCTGGCCCGATTCTCTCAGGCTCAGTGCACACCGGTCTCTGGGATTGTCGGCCGTCGCCGTCCTCCGGCTGGAGTCGAGGCTCGGCAGCGGTCCGCGACTGCGGAGCTTCCCCGCCCAGCCCGGCGGGCGGCTGACCGCCGGCCTCCGCGCCGCCCTCGTGCGATCTCACCCGATCCTGCCGCTGCGGCTCGCCGTGACCTGGGTCGGTGCCCCCGGCGGGGTCGCGCCGGCGTCCGTGGCCGTTAGCCGGAGCCGGCCCGCCGCTCGTCTGGCCGCGCTGGGGGAGCACGGCCTGCCGCGGCGGCGGCGCGGCGCGCCCGGTCGCCGGCGGCCCTCGCCACTCGTCTCGACCAGGCTCACCGGCTGCATGGAGAGGAGCGTGCTGCGTGGCGACGGCGTCCGGTCCAAGCTCCGATGCCTGTGTAACGGTGCGATCTGGTTCCCGCGGCCGCAGAGCGCTTCCATTCGGCTCCCTCGGCTGCGTGAAGTTTCGACTCGCATTGTGGTCGCGAGTGAAGCTGTGGCTCCGCCTATGTGGCTGCGTGAAGCTCTGCTCCTGCTGCGTCGCGCGCACCAAGTCCCGGCTCTGCTCCTGCAGTTGCACAAAGTCCCGTCTCATCTCCTGCGACCAGCGCAGGTCGCCGCTCGCTGCACCGCCGTCCTCCTCACCGTCGCCCCGGCCGCCGAGGTCCTGCGAGCTGCGATACTGCCGGAGCGCTGCCTGCAGCCGGCCCTGACACGCGCTGTCAGGCAGCGCTCCAGACGCCCGTCGGTACGCCTCGTAGCTGGCGGCCAGGGCCGAGCGCAGGTCCTGCTGGCTGCCGGCGCGGCGCCGGCTCGCCGCCGCCTGCCCGTGGCCGCTCTCCGCGCCGTCCGGCCGCACCCAGTGCCCGCGGCCGCCGGCAGGCCACTGCGGGTAGCCACCGTGGCGGCCCGGCCAGCGCCACTGGCCGCTCTCGGCCGTCGGCGGCGCCGGCGGCACGTACGGCGGCGGGTCGTAAGGCCGGCAGTACGGCCGGTCGTAAAGCTGGTCGTACGTCGGATCGTAAGCGCCGTTCAGCGGGCCCGAAACGCTCTTGGGCAAGCCGCGGTGTCCGCTCTGCCGGCCAGAGGGCGACAGGACGGGCGTCTGCTGGTGGGCCGGTGCTCGCGCCGCTGTCCCTGGAGAGCTGGGCAGCGTTCGGTGGACCGTCACGCTGCGCGCCGCCGGACGGGCAGCGCCGCCCGGTGGCCGTGTGTGGAAGCTCGCGGCCAGGCTGCCCGCCGGGCGCAGGCGGTGGAGGAGCCAGGTGACCCGACGAGGCCCGCAGCATGTCCTGGAAGATAGCCAACTGGTAGCAATAGCAGAAGCTGAAGTTAAGCAATGCAGCTATCTATGAACCTCATAAAGTGACAGTTTGTTGAAAACGAATTTCTTAAGACTACAGGTTCGATCAGTGGCTGTCAGTCGGCAGATGATATGAACACTGTACTGCGGAGGAGAGAAAGCACATACACGGGACTAGCTGGTTTATTAAGGTTTAACAGAATGAGCAACAAAACGTTACACAACTGTCGATGGGTCTCAGCTAACCAAAATGCTCCGACATGCCATCGTGACCAGTACGCTGGGGAAAACTCAGCGTGCCCTACCTTTTCACTGCTGTGGGTGATGTCGGGGTGATTTACATGGTAAGCTCGTAGCTCCGCAGAGAGAAAGCATGGTAAAAACTTGAAAGGCGAGCCCAGATTAGCCAACTGGCTGCGGAGCTGATGCTATCTCTATGCGTCAGATGGGAATACGCTGTTGCGTATTGGATTGTGGGACACACACGTACGCAGATTTATTGTGACACAAGCTCCGCAAGCCGAGGCACTGGCGACGCCTTTCCACTGGAACTTTACCACGCAACTATACGCAGACGAAGACATGCTGGGCTGGTGCGGTATTCACAAATCCAATTTGTTAAGCTAGTAAGAAGGAAGCTGTCAGTTTAAATTTGCGGCAGCAGCGCCCTATTAGCGCGTATCACAGCACAACAGCATTAAATCCTTCTGTGCCGGGCACTCGAGCAGCATAGTCCACATCAGACCCCCCGGCACCAGGGCTGACGCTGACCCCCGCCGCCCTCTCGCCGGTCTGACCCGTTCACCGGCCGACACCAGGGCTGACGCTGACCCCAGCCCCCCGCCGCCCTCGCCGACCTGACCCGTCCACCGGCCGACACCAGGGCTGACGCTGACCACAGCCCCCGCCGCCCTCGCCGACCTGACCCGTCCACCGGCCGGCACCAGGGCTGACGCTGACCCCAGCCCCCGCCGCCCTCGCTGGCCTGACCCGTCCACCGGCCGACACCAGGGCTGACGCTGACCCAGCCCCCGCCGCCCTCGCTCCTGACCCGTCCACCGGCCGGCACCAGGGCTGACGCTGACCCAGCCCCCGCCGCCCTCGCTGGCCTGACCCGTCCACCGGCCGGCACCAGGGCAGACGCTGACCCGGGCCCCCGCCGTCCCCGCCGGTCTGACCCGTCCACCGGCCGGCACCAGGGCTGACGCTGACCCGAGCCCCCGCCGCCCTCGCCGGCCTGACCCGTCCACCGGCCGGCACCAGGGCTGATGCTGACCCGAGCCCCCGCCGCCCTCGCCGGCCTGACCCGTCCACCGGCCGGCACCAGGGCTGACGCTGACCCGAGCCCCCGCCGCCCTCGCCGGCCTGACCCGTCCGTACCCCGGTGGCGTTACCTGGCCGCGGTCGTCGCCGGCGCCGGGCCCGAGCGAGGCGCGCCGCTGCAGCCTGTGGAGCGGCGCCGGCTCGGTGGTCGACTGGCGCCGCTCCTGGGGGCCGCGCCGGCCCGGCTCCTCTGGAGCGCGGCGGCCCGGGCCGCGCGCCGCCAGCAGGCCCTGCACGCGTCGCACCTCCTGCTCCAGCGACTGGACCTGCGGCCGGCGGGAGCGGCGTCACCGGCCGGGCCGAGGCAGTCATGCGGACGCGGCAGGACTGAGATCCCGCCAGGCGATGCTCCACAGACAGCGACAAGACGCCCAGGCTGTCAGGAGCTGTCTTCCCGCAGTCAAGCCCCATGGGTCGTGGTGTTTAACCGCGCGGGTGGACCTCCTATTGACAAGGCCAGCAAGTCATGCGTACCGGTCTAATTTTGCTGACTCCTGCGTGAACAATCGACCTCACCAGACACGTGTCGCCGTGTACACACGCATGCGTCCATCTCAAAAGTGGAGATCCAGGGTCATCCGGTAGGACGGGATGATCCCCGTCGGCTCACTGCACACCATGTCCATGTGGGAGTGCATCCCGGGAAGTCTGGACCATCTCTGGGCCCCACAAGTTTCGTATTATGTGTTAAGTTATTGGTTTTGCATACTGCATATTCTGAGATCAAGAGGAGTCCGAGCCCCTTGCTCGAAGGGGAAGTCTCTAGCCCCGACGCACCTCTTGATTATAGTGAGGCTCAGAGTTGTTGGCAGCTCTCAACGCGTTCTGAAGACGCTGACGCAGGGACAGCATCTCCCTTTCCAGGCGCCCGTTGTCAGCAGCTGTCTCGTTGAGGTTCTGAAACGAGAAACACCGACGGTGCTATCGGGGCACATTTACTTCGACTTGTCATTGAGGCTTCAAGACGTAACCAGCTGCGAGGGCGTTAAGATGTCGCTCGCCTCTCGCCCTGGCAGGGTGGGAATCGCGAGATAATCACACCTCGTACCTCTGATCCCCTCAGACGCGCAGCTTGACTACAGCACTACCCGTACCCAATGCGCTTTAACTTGTACGCTTACAGCATGTTATTGTTCAGCTGAATTTAACCTGTATTTGTTTGTGGGAGTGAATACGTTTTGTTTTGGATAATGATAGAAGCATGATTGTGCAAATACAAGCGGCCCAAAGCCAACAATGGCCTGATCTTACGAAGCTCTATTCATCTCGTTCTTATCTTACCCATCTGATTGCAACCAAAGGCGTGGTTTGAACTCCCGCGCATTCGGTCGAGCGCACCTCCGCCCATCACTCTGCATTCTGAACAAAGCCTCTCTCCGGGGTCGTGGGGGTCGTTCTGTGACCTTACGCAGGCCGCTTCTGAGTCGTCGCCGTGTCAGGGAACGGTGCGGCACCCCGGGTGGCACACTCGCCCGTTCCTGCCACGCCGCCGACTCCGGGGGCAACTAATCCGAACGGGGCGTGTCCTGATAACGGTGCGATGGGGCTCCGACACGCCACAGGGTCTTTGATCGTCCAGGGAGCCTCCCAGCCACGCAAGAGTCGCGGAGAAACTGGCACTTTGAGCCTTAGCTGCCGTTTAACAGGGAGAAGCTCTGCCTCGAGCGACGCGTGGAGAACGCATGCAGTTCGGGTGTATACCAGAACCAGTTGCCCCTGTTCGAGCGAGGCATGAGCAAATCCAGCTTGCGTCGCCGAGCCCGCTGCGAATATTTCGCTCGAAGGTTGTAAAAATGTTGTTTACAAGAAACCTGGCAAGCGCACGGCAACCGCGAAAACATAAGATTGCATGTCTGTGAACAAAACAACCGGAGGATTACTACTGTGCAGCAAAAAATTGGTGTATGTCTTATAACATGACAAACGGCTTCCCATAAAGTTGAACAATCACACAATTGTATCCCCTGGAAAATATTGCTAAGAGTCAAG